TCGTCGTGGTTGCGCTTGGCCATGGGTGCCGGGAATGCCAGGACACAGAAGGAAACGTCTCAACGAAAGCTGAAGATGGCGAGGCAGCAGCCATATGTGAGTGCTTTACGAACATGCATGTTGCTCAGGTGCAGCTGCGCTTGCCTCACAACACGCAGGCCCGAGTGTATATACCTGTCACACAAACATGACCACGCATAGCCAGGCTCAACTTCTTTGCAAAATTCTTCGGACAATGACAAGCAGAAGCGCGTGAGGCAATGACGCAGTGTCTTTTGGCATCGTTGCTGGGACGACGGAGAAGTCTCCGAAGACGTGTACCCCTGACGCGAGTCAAGTTCAGGAATTGAACAACGTGCATGACAAGGACCCAAGCTGAGAGCTTCACTGCGCTTAGGAAATGTCCCCTAAATACGGGGGGAAGGGCGCGCTGTTCTAGAGAAACAATCTGAAAAATGGGAGTTCCACGTCAAGGTCGCGCCAGGTTTTCTCCATAAAATGGGGTGCGTGGGCTCTGTAGCAGAAGAACTTGAATGAACACTATGAATGGCTATGGCTATGGAAAACCAGGCCACATTCTTACTATTCGTGCAAGCAAAAATTATTCAACTCAAGCACCGGAGAGCCTTAATCTTTTCCATTATGAAATGACCTGGGCACCCCTTCATGACGCCTCATAACAAGTCTTTACTTATGTCATACTTATGTATCCATAAAATGACTCAGGCAGCTTCCCATGTTGAACCATTCCAGAGCAAAAGCGAGCATCGGCAGCACAAGACACCTGTTTCACGCACCACCCCTTCTCTATGAAAAAGGGTGGGGGAGGTTAGGAACGACTTCTCCACTCCACGTGCAAAACGACCTCCATGAAGTGACCAAGACCTTATAGAGGGGCTGGATCCTAGGAAGCGATGACTGCCCTGGGCCCCGGCTTCGCTCCCGCTCCAGACGAGAGCTCGGTATTGCTGACACGGCAGGATCCCTGACATTCTGTCTTTCAAGCGCTCATGCTTCTTTGTCTTTACGGCAATCAGGTTACAGTGTTTGAGACCTGAGGGGATATGAAGCTCTCAATGGCGCCAAGGCTGGCGGGCTTAATTAAGATGCATGCGTCCCCTTCAGAATAAAGCGAGACGAGGCTGACTGCTGGATATGCTCTCGCACCTGGCAATGCAGCAGGTGAGATGCAGCTGTGCTCTTCCAATCCCTCCAACTTGATTCCATTGTCGTGCTTGGTCGCCTCATCAGAATTACAATGATGTCGGCTTCTTACCTGGTACAAAGGCAAGCAGGCCACAGCCTCACACGCGGACACTTACGAAGGTTGCAGGTGGGCCTTCTTGGCAGCATGGCTTTTGCGCAAGCCACTGTTCTCCATGTCCACCAGCTCATCCCCGACCAGATATTTCTCCGGGAGGGCTTGAAGTTGCGCGCAAAACAGGCAGCTGAATCGTTTGAATGCCTACTGAGCCTACTGCTGATCTGGGAAATGCCTGGTGCAAACGGTGTCCACTTCTTACTGGCACCAAGTTTAACAGGTGCAACTTCTGTTACGTCTGCGTTGCCCTCTCAACCCTGTCAGCTTTTGCGCAGGCGGTCCTCAGCTCCGCCTGCTCTTGGGGAAAGCTCTGGTTGCACAGCAGCAGCCTGGCAGAACAGAACCATCACTTGTTGCAGCCGGATAAAGTTTGAATTCCAAGTCAGGGGCCATTTCACCGCTGGTTCGATGCTGAACAGCCACTGTTGCAGATGCCTTTCCTCGCACTGCGCATGACCACCAGATGTCACCAGATTGTGGAGGGCGGCTTTACGAACTTATGTTATTTGCCCATGCCTGCTGGACTCATAGTGTCAGCCAAAGCTGCATCCGCCAACCTGAGTGTGATGAACTCCGGAGACAAAAAAAAGAAGGCATGACCTTCGAGCAACACAGTAGCGGAGCAAACCAAAGCTCAGCAGCCTTCGTGGACTGAGAGCGCGCAGTTCCTCTACGTGCTTTGCAGCCTGGAAACCAAGGAGCACGCACGCGACCCTACCGAGAAGAAGAGCCAAGGCTTTCTGTTCCTGCCCGGCCTGCGGATGGTCTGAAAACTGATGTCGGCGGTTGATTGCTGGTGGCTCCGGCACCCTGAAGCACATGTGCGAGACGCCACCCAACGATTCAAGTTCAAGATGAATTAGCTGCAGCTGTCGCAGGATCTGCGGAGAAGCCTGTGCGCTTCTGACCGCATCAGGTGCTTGGCAATCTGCGGGTCCTGGCTTGCAAGGTGCTGCGGCCGAAAATCCATTCAACCATTGCTAGCAAGAAGAGCAGTGGACAGCCTTGTTCAAGCCAGTTCTCTTTCCACGTGAGATCTGAAAGTTCTCGCCTGGATCAAGCATGCACAGAAGCATAAACTGCCAAATCCTACAACACTCCCGGCACAAATTACAGTAGCATCCAAGAAACTGCTTGGCATCTGCTACCAACAAGAGCAGAATACGAAGCAATTCCACTGACCGAGTCTGCCGACCATGAGTCTCAAGTCGCCCCCATGTGAAGGCCAATTCATTCACCATGCATTAAAAGATGGACGCAAGTGCGTCAATCTGAGGATGCGCCAAGCCCAGAGCTGTTTGCGATAGCCGAGACTGTCGGCTTCGCGTCCTGAAGCATCTCGCACAACCTTAGGCTCCTGTACTTCTGCGCAGGCATGCGCGTTGGCTCCGTCGGCTCTATGCTCGATTTGCAAGGTACTGTAGACACGTCTGAGGTGCTGCCGGAAGCTGTAAACACATCGTTACTAGGGGAAAAGGTACTAGTGCCATGGAACCCCTCCCCAAACAAAAAAATGCTGTCCTCGCCATTCATTCTCAGCCTCGGGAAACGATGCCGATGCTTCCACAGCACTCTACGCAATTGCTTGTACGACGCTGCTACAGAGCAGCACATCTGCTTGTCGCTTGCAGAGAACTAGGGCACAAACCAATTCTCTGAATTTCGAGTGATTTTTCCTCAGGTGCACTTTCAGGGCCGAACAGATCAACCCACAGCACAGCCGCACAGCTTTACTTGAATTTGTCTTGGAGAAATTGACTTCAAAGTCTCCTCTGCGTCTCTTGGCTCTAGGCTGCTTATGCTACTTGTTCCTGAGCACAATGCCGCTGTGCATTCGCCGGACAGCAGAACTGAAGTTCGAAGACCTTCCAGGCCACTCCCTTGTCCATGAATTGGCACGTGCAGCTCTGAACCGGCAAATGCAACAGAACCTACAGGCGTACGCGCCAAAGCACCACACTGGCTGAAGGGATGGCTCGGAGTTGTAGGGATCCGGGCGGCATCGTGCGGTCAGCCTTCACCGCAACTGGGCTCGGATCCCGGGGCCGCGAGTACCTGACATCACATGCTGCCTGCGTATCAAACACAGCTTGGCAACCCAGACCTGACACCCAATTTGAACACCAGGCCCGGGATACGTGGAAACATGCGGACGCAAGAAGGGGGGGTCTTTATGAGGTGTTTCAGGGTCTCGGATGAGGTTTCGAAGGTGTGCCCAGCGTGCAATCTTCCGAGGCCTTCCTAAATTGCATTGCAGATGGCTTTACTCAGTCAGACTCAAGACAAACATCACGGCATCGCTGATGCCAGCTCAACCTTTCTAATGTACTTCATGCCTTGGGGTTCTGAATGGACACTCTTTGGGTCTGGATCCATGCCAGGTGACAATCCGCGCCATCATGAAAAGTGTCGTTGAGCGAAGGGTCTTAAGTCCACATGATAGCTGGCCGGTTGCAGCACAAAACCTGCAGCTTCATTCATCCGTAAGTTGAGTCGGGATCACTTAGATCTACAGGCACCATGCTGTGAATTCACAGAAGCCGTGCAAAGCTTGAACTTGCAAGTGTCTCTATCAGCTTGCAACATCATGTCCTCTCGCACAGTCTGTTCTGTGAGGGCTCACGCCATCCAATCCTCCGACATATTCCAGTTCGGACTGAATGCCCTGGCGAGTTGGCTGCACAACATATGGACAACGCTGCTTCTCGAAACCCCCCCGTTGCAAGTGCAAGACATTGGCTTCTTCTATGCTATGAGCAGCGGGATGAACTAGTCAGCTTAGTTCTAAGAATCGGTAACCTTTCAAGTTTGGGTCCGGCCTTGCCGCTGCACTCGGACTCCGAGGGTCCCGGTCCTGCGAGTGAAAGACTGCAACATGGCTGAAGGTCCTCACAAGTTTTGAATTCTTCAGATAATGGCTAATGGCCTTCATGAATTTAGAGTCGTAGTTTACTGGGGATCTGTAAACCTGAGTCCAATTTGTCAGCAAGCCTCCACAGCAGAGTTCTCCAGTCTCATGACAGAGCTAAGAAAACAGTACTGGCCAGGCCAAAATTAAAACCTACGCCCCAGAGATCTATGGAGATCAAACTGCAGAAAAATGGAAACCTACAAACTATCAATTGGTTTGTGATTGTTGCGCTTCAGGAAAAAATTGGTTTCTTCGTGTGTACTATCCTTGTCGAGCGTTTAAGCACAAAAATTTCTGCTGTGGGAATATTTCCCAGTACTGCCCGAAATGGTGCCCGCCAGTTTTGTGAGTTTCCTGACAGTGCCTTCTGAGGCCAAAAGGGGCGAAGATTCTTTGCCCTGGGCTCTAGCCCACCGCCCAAAAAAGCCAACATCAGCCTCAAGCCCCAAGGCGTCTCTTCAGGCAGGACTCTGGGAATTCCCTAAGTGCAAAACCCGCGCTTATGGTGCGTCCGGAATTCGGTAGGCGCAAGCCTGTTTTGCAAAGGTCGCTGGTGGCAACAGATGAAAGAAATTCAGTAGTGCAATATTGGGCAATCCTTTTTTTCAAGTATGGACAAGCAGATGCACCGCTTTCAAACGTGATCTTCTTGCGGCGGTTAGTCAAACCAAACCTAATAACATGGAGACCCAGGAAAGGTCCCAAGCGCAGGGCTCAATCGGGTTACAAGCCATGTCAACACTCAAAGCGGTCCTCCCGCAACATGTCTCGTGGGCTGACATCTCGTGCTCGCGCGCTCACGTCCACACGAGGGCTGAGCTGTCGCGCGCTCATCCTTGCTGGCACACCTTCAGACCTGCCAGCTGCCCCGCAAGGGCACAGGGCTTGGCGTCTCGCAACAATTCAAGATTCCTCCCTGCCACTGAAATCTATGCAACCTCAATGCGAAGCTCTAGCCTTCCCCGGCTGAAGCTGCCACGAGGTCCACTGTCCTTTCGTAAACACACTTTCCACAGGCTTTGCATGGCTTTTTCAAGGCCCTGCCTTGATTCCAATGTTCCTGGGTGTGCGAGGACTCAACCAAAAGGACCTTTCAAGGACGCGTGAATTAGCTCATGCAGACTTGTGACGGGTGACTCACGCTGAGCAGTTCGAAATTGATCTGACACACGGAAGACCGTAATTTTTTGTAGACACATGCCAGAGGCTCTCATCCGCACGGTCGAAGAGGTTGGCTGGTTTGACCTTGTCCGCTCTGAAGTGGACATGGCGAAGAGCCAGGACTATGCTCATGAATACCAGGAATACCAAACAGATGAGGTGCTACGACACCTGAAAGACAAAGGGTTGATCTAATGGTAGAGCTGCTTGCGCTTCATGCCACATACACGGAGAGTCTCTGAGGCCCTTGGCCCGGAACCCTGGTCGCTCTGACCTGAGCAGCTCGCAGTCCGGACAACACGCTGACATAGAACATCTGCTTTAGAGTTTACCAGCAGCAGACACAGTGCGGAAATTTCACAGCACCTTTCTGTCCACAAGCATCTCGTTCTGACCATTTGTGAACCCTGATGCCGGACTGCTTCTGCAAAGGGCAATGGGGTTCAAAAGCTGCGCTGCTAAACTCCTCAAGAACCGTGCATGCTCCGGCGCGGCGAGCGTGGGGACAATGACCGTGGTGAGCGGTTTCCAAAGAGGCCTCTACAAACTGCACGCGATGCTGAGGAAAGCCTTTGCTGCAGAGGCCAGTTTCCCATCTCTTTGACTCGTACTGGCAGAAGCACTAGCGAATGGCAAGCACTGGGTGCTTCATTGTGCAGTTTTTAGCTTCGAGGCCTGTGCCGTTGCACAACTCAATAACCCAAGCAAGCGTCTTTGAAAACACGACCACTCCCTGGGCCTCGAGGGGAGGCATTTCGAGGACTCGCGTTTGGTGTCCTGCATGTTGCAACACCATCTCCCTCATGAGCGGCAAGGGCATCGTAGCAAAATGTGGCAGACATCCCCTGACAGCGTGCCCATGGACATGGCCAGACCCTTGATAGTCTACGCACGCAGGCGGGCGAGCCATTGCAATTTGACCTTACAAGTACATGCTGATTTGAGCCTTGGCCGGTTAGCAGCGCTCTCATGGTGAAACCAGTCCTCCCAGGAAGGCAAATGAAGTCAACTTAAACGTAAAGCTTACGCTAGACAACTTAGCGAGCAACGTACATGAGGGCCCAATCCAGTGATCAGCGTATTGCTTAGTCTCTCCGGCCTCGCACAGAACACTGACACACACAGACCCCGGGAGTATCCTGGGACTCGCGAAAAGTGTCTGTGGCAAAGGTTGTGGGGACGACACCAGAAAACCTCAGCAAATGACGATGAGGCTAACGGATACCCAAGCGCCTTTCCAGAAGGTAACCCAGGCTAATTCGCAAAGCGATGGGATTATTCGATTGCCACTGCCGTCCTGTGAAGGCACTTTCTCTGAGAAGGTGGCCTTCTTGGCACGGGGTTGTCCAACTTGGGGGATGTGTGTGTTACGAAACCGCCACGGCGGAAGTCAACTCCAGACTTGTCCAACTGCTGCCAGAGTCCTGCCAGCAATCCGAGGGTTCTTGCAGCGGCTGACCCATGTTTGCGGTGGATTCTTGAAAGCTATGACGCTCTGAAGTCTGGGATTAAGAATTCGCCTGGCGGCCTGACCCACTTTGCCGGTCCTCGCCCATGTGCATGGCCAATGCGTGATCCACGACCTTGGCTTCAAAAGCCGGCCAACTGCAGACTTCCTGAGCCTCTTCCAACTACAGGTAGCAGTGGATACCACCCCCAACTGAGCATCTCTTGGGCCAAAGCAGATTTTGTCCATCTCTTAGATGGATGATTTCAAGTCTATGAAGCAGGACAGGCACTTCAAGTTGCTTCTGTTGGTGGAACTTTGCAGGTGCCATCTGCCTTCCGTACATTGTCTGTGAACGATGGTACGCTAGATTGTGTTGTAATCGTGGATAACCGTGGGATATCCTTGATCAGAATTTCAGCAGACAGGAAAGCGTTCAATTGCAGGCGCGCGCCGTCCCCTCGCCTCTTGGCACCCCTCTAACGCGTCACAACAAACCCACTCTCGCCCCAAATCCCAAAGTTGGCGAGTCAAAAGCCAAGGAGCTGCACTATTCTCTCATGTGCGACAGTCCACTTGCTCCATGTCCCTCTTGGAGGGTCAAGAGTCTGCAGAAACTGGCGCAAATTGTATCTCTATCTTCAAGCAGCAAAATGAGGCAGAGTCGGTCACAGCTCAACTGCCTTGTACCAGCTTGAGTGAACATCAAGCCCATAGAGACACACACGCTCAGTTGCAGGGGTGATCCTGGTGTTCCTATGTCTGCAAGTCCACCCGAAGCCATCAGGCCCCCTAGCAGTCTAAACCACCCTAGGCCTACACACTTAAACTGTCAATGGCGCTGTCACGAGACAGGGCTGTCAGCGCCGATGGCCTTCCACAAATTGAGCATCTTCAGCTTGCCATCTTACAAATGCTGGCAACCACCCCACTCGGTTGCAATGAGCTCAAGGCACTATCCTCTGAAAGCTGCAGCAGGACATAGGAATCCCGGCCGGCAAACTGCTGGTGCTTCTAACACCCACGCCATCTGCTGTCGCCTGAGCATGCTATCAAGATCTATCAAGCGCGCCAAGGATGAGGATGTACAGTCTTTTGCAAGGCAGTGCTGAGAAGTCATCGGATAACATGTTCAAGGCCATAACCTCTCGCCGCTGTCGTCGGCCTTCACGGACAGCTTGAACCTGACAGTATCGTGCACTGCAACTAGCTCTGCGTTAAGAGTCTCGCATGAGCAGGATCTATTGAAACAGTGCCTGCAAGAAATGAATTACATTCTTGGCACGTGGCAGCGAAAATGCGTTGCTGCTGAACTTCCTGACGCTTCGCCAGGATGATCATCTCCTCACGCTTCCTTTCCTGGTGAACACTCTATTGCCAGAAGTTGATGTGCAGGCAACTGAGAGTCATTGCCACTAACGGCAACGCCTTGTCCCTGGCACGGTACCGTTCCACCATGTCTGCCTGGGCCAGTTCCTGCATAAGCCAACAATGCTCAAGAAAAACGCATCAGTGTCCAGTCATGGGGAAGCCACATACAAGGAGCGAAACCTGAACAGTTTGTCTCGTGTTTTCCGTTGAGGTTGTGGACAGAAGCTGCGATGACAACCCGTTCACTCATGTATCTGGCTGCAAGGTGGCTGAAAATGTGAAAAGACGTCATTAATGCTTGCTGGCTCGGATGTTCAGGGCTGCTTCAGGCATTGCCATGCCGCTTGGGCATTGGGTAAACCCTGAACCTTAAACCCTAAATTCCCACCCGGCTTGCATTGGCAGTTCCCACGCACTATTCAGGGGTAATACACTGTACGCCTGCCCGTACTGGGTCTGACGCTGGACGGATAGAGTCCCTCCGCCCCTGGAAGTCCCTGGGCGGTGCGGTGGGCCCGTGATCATAATGTTTGCTAAGCGCTTGCGAGTGGGAACTGAGATGATCTTGAGGAGGGAATTGAAGGCGCCTTCTGATGGATTCTAAGACAACATCGTGAGAGTGTCGCTTGGCGCAGGATGTGCCGCCACCCACAGACCCTTGGGAGTGGGGCGGCGCCATCTGCACATTGACTATCAGCCGCGCGTGATGAGATGCCCTAAACCCTAAACCCTAGACTCTAAACCCAAACCCCTGTATTGCAAGCTGCATTGCATCTCATGGCTTCAAGAAAGTCCTGCTCGATGACAAAAAGCTTCCGTCTGTGTGCATCAACCTTCCCCGGTAGGTTAGCAACAGGATGGGGGTTATTTGGGTTCAGGGTTTAGGGGCAGAGCGGACGAACAGATACTGCTCTACGTACAACTCATTGCTCAGAAAATCCTGGTTACCCAGCATTGCATAGAAGCAGACTCTATGAGGCGCTTGCAAACCACAACACACATGGAATGTGGAATTTCAGGAGTACCAGGCGTATGGGGTCGCTCGGCGAAAAGAACCACCGACAAGCAAACCAATCAACTGAAGCGGCCAGGTCTGCCGGTAACAAGCGGGCTTGGCTAACCCAACTGGGAGTACGTACAGCTCAGCCGAGCGGCCGGCCAGACCACGCCCCCGACCGACAATTGAAAATCAGGAGCTCTGAGTACTCTGAGGTTTGAGCATCCACTGGCTTGCCATCATCATCAAGAAAACCAGCCGTCTGCATGGTATGCCTGTGGAAAGAAGCTCCAAACCGCTTCTGGACTCAATAGGCGTAAAACATGCTGCGCCTCTGGAGCCAAGCATGCCCAAAGCAGAGTTCCACAACATGCTGTATTGAAAAAGAACCTTTACCTTTCAACTTCTTGGAGATCATGAACAAACACACTCAAGGCTGTGCCTGATGCGAGGGTTGACCCAGAGGTGCCTTTCAAAAGCTGGGACTGATTGGCTGCGAGCAATGTCACTAATAACGCAACATTGCCATGACCACAAGCCAGCATTATCAAACTCCATGCCCCAGACGCCATCTGAAATGCTGAGGCAGGTGCTGCAAGTGCACGTCAAACATGGGCTTGTACCTCGGCTTCTCATCCCTGTCCAAGCGTGGCTCAAATATGTTATTGCTTCTGCGCAGGACCTAGTCTTGTTGGTGGCATACAGATTCAAGAGGAAAAGTACGCAAGTTCTACTGACTTTCATGCATAAGCTTCCGACATTCTGCTTCCGACTCAGGCCAGTGCTGAGGAAGGGGAGCTGTGCGGGACGATGAGTGGAAGTCCAGTTCGCGCGCACGCAGGCCCTTCCTGTATGGATCCAGAACAACCTCTGTCACTTTGTACTAATCCAGCCGAGTACCAAAAATCACACCCTGTCCTCTTGGCCGGCTCGCGTAGGCCTGCGACATTCTAAGTAGGCAATGGACACTGAACGAGGAAGCAAAGCTATCTCAAAGTGCTCTGAGACAAGCATGTAGCCACTGAGCGACTAGGACTTTTGCTTCCGTCTCGCCTGGAATCATTCCGTTGGTCTCGAGCGCCATGGCAACCGCCTCACACGTACAAGAAGCATGCTGCAGAAATCCGGGCCATCAAGACGAATCGAGGCATCGCTTAAGGCCGCGACCGCCGACTCCAGCTCGACACGACAAGTATTTGGCTTTTGGTGCTTTGCGCCCAATGTCAATCAGCAATGTTCTCCACAGTATGGCAGAATTTGTCGTCTAGGCCCGCTGAGTGTCACAGGCGAACCTTCCATGTGAGATATGGCATATGGTTGACTTGCCCAACTCTACCACAGCTTGAGACAAATGTGTCGGACCCTCAAGTTTGAGGCAAATTCCATGGGCAAATTTGAAATTGCCATCATCTACCAATTGCCATTGGAGCCCTAGACGGGGCTTTTCTAGACGCACAGTATGGGCAGTTTCAGGTCTACTGCGTGGACCCCCAACAGTTTGAGTACTTGTTACTGCATGGACTTAAAGAACTTCACCCCAGTAGGAATCAGGATCGAGAGTCAATCTAGCGAAAGGTGTGTAGCCACCTGACCATGGTCTTCGGAGTGCCGCGTGTGCCAACAAACCCGAAATCTCAAAAGTAAGTGTTGAAACATGTGCTTCCTTGCGCATATCAGCAGAACCCTTCATATTGTCTCGCCGCATGAATTCTGGGAACAAGGGGGGTCCTGCTGCGAGGCTTCACGACTCTCGCGGAACATGCAGGAGCTTGGACAAGTTGGGTCCTTTTAATTTGAGCTTCTTGTCTGCCCAGACTTTATGGACATATCCTATTGCCAGTTGCCGACTTTCATCACTCGAGCCGTCAGCGCACCTGGCGGCCAAACCGTGAAAGCAGTGCAGCAGGCTGGGACAAGCCAGCCGGGCAGTGGATCAGCACGGGAACGACGAGGGCCGCGGCACAAAAGAACTCGCCACGATCTCCGCCAAGGAGTTTGGCAGTACAGAGACCTGTGTTACAAGACTTGCAGTCCTGAGGCATGTGTTCAGCCACACTGACAGAGTTCTTCGTGCTCACCTGCTCCCGGCCCGATAACAGCTGGCCTTGAAAAGCACAGGATCGAAAATCATGCTTGGTCCGTGGAAGCTGTGCATGAATACCAAGAATCTGGCAAGGCATACTGAAAGGCCACACTTGGCACAAAGAGGAGACCATGCCTTGGATGTCTTTGTTTACAGCCCCCAATTTTTCCGCAGGCGCAGGGATGATGCTTCAGACGCTGTTCTGAAAACAAGCCACGCAAGCATTGCAGCAACAGCTGCGACTAGTAGGCACGGCAGCGGCGAGTGCCTTGTGAACATCAGTTGACATGCGGAGCGGTTGCGTTATGGCTGAGTCTTTGCAGGGCCGTTTCACCTGTGAGACTAAGGCGCAGGCCCATGAAGCGCGGAGAGCTGCGCAAATAAAATAGCACATGCTAGCGGGACGGCCAAGACAGGGCCCATCGTCGCCTGACCACTCAACTTGCACCAGCACAGTCATGGAATTGCAGGAAAGCATCAAGACTTATCAGACTTCAAAACGGATGCACAGCGATGTTGAGAGCATGGATGTCAACTTCTAACACACTGAGATGGCAGGCTGAAGGAAGCATCACCATTGTCGCCACAGCGAAGCCGCAGAAGACGGCAGCTGCTTCACGCAAAGCTGGTGCGTGAAACTCCTGAAAATTTCATCTCACTCTCATTGGGACTCAATCTGAACTTGTCTTGCCTGTTGGCTTCTCTGGAAACAACATTCGTGCAAAACATCTTCGCAGTCAGTGCGGTTGATCATCTCACCTCCACGGCAAAGGCATGATCTGCGCCAATCTCCCGAAAATGGGCCTGGCTCTGCTTGCTAAAGCTTCTATACGCACAGCTGTGCGGCATCATCAAACAAGCCTCCACTGCCGCAATGCGCGCTACAATGCCCTACAGTATTACACATATACCTGAAATTATGTGCCTGAAATATGTCCCTCTTTGCCAGCCTCTTTGCAGACACAGCAGAAACAGATCAGTGCCAAGAGGGGCAGGAGATGCTCCTCGCAACGCACACCCTGCAAACATGTCCGGCTCCAGCCGCAAGGAGCCGTCCTTTCTTCGAAATCTGCCACGGCTGCTTGAATACATGCCCGCTCAAGCGCACGCACGATGATCTTGACAGAAGCTTTTGCTGTGCCGCGCAGCAAAGAAGAAAGCCGGTACAAATTTCCCTCAAGCCATAGGTCATTGGATTTTGCTCTCATGCGACAGAGCATGAACAAGACATGTGCGATCGAACAAGTCGGGGTAAGCTGTTTGCCACCAATTGCAAGCTGCGCGATCTTCTGACACCAATCACTACATGGAGTCATGATGCATGTTGATGCTCCCTTTGATCCAAATGATGGTGCTCCTGCGTTGAAACGACTTGTACACTACTCTCTCTACGACATTGAAGAGTGGAAGTGTCGCACGGCATTGCATAACGTGCTTGGGCCCGCCAATGGGCATACAGCACACTCATGACTGCCCTTGGTGGTGAAATCTCCTACTACCCCAAGACAAATTCCAATATTTCAGACTTCTTCATACAAAACCATGATCTGTACAGGAGGAACTAACTTGCAATACCACAATCATCTAATCCTACCACTGTATGAACAAATGCTAGATAAAGCAACATCAGTCAGAACAGAACGTGAAGCATAGGACATGGTCATGTGGCAGCTGTGTCAGCAAAAAGCACTGATAAAAGACTCAGCAGGAATGAGCCTGTGTAAAAAGACATTACTGTTTAAAATGGAAAGGCATGGAAAATACGAAGGAAGAAAAAACGGAGCTAACAGAATCGGTTGTAGCCTTCAGACTGAAAGCCTGCTTTCCGTTGAACTAGCGAATTAACAAGCCGAATCACAATGCCGAATGTAGTGCCGCTGAAGACTGGAAGCAGGAACTCCGAACCAGCACTGGATCTGAGGAATGCACCTTTGCACCTAATCCTACCGTGCCATGCTCTTTGGCTTCTTGGGGTCTTTGAAAACACCAGGCGCCCTATGACGACGAAACCATGTAGTTCCGACAGTCAACCCAACCGGCTGTAGCATGCTGTAGCTGTCTGTCTGTGAATCATGCAGCTCAACTTATGCCACTGGCAAGTGATCTCAAGTTCCATGCATGTGAGCTCATCTGCCCTGCAGCTGCGTCTTGACCTTAGAGCTGGAAGCTTCAGGCCCAAGGGTAGCAAAATAAAACAACTCGTTAGCACTTGAGAGCGGTTCATAGCATTGCCTGCTTGCTTTCTTCAACCTGTTCATAAGAGTCGTCACAAATGATTGATCCACACGGCTAACATCAAGAAAATGTTGCGCTTCATTTTCCAAGGCTGCTTGCTACACACGGCTTCGCGTGATAAAGTTTTGGTACAGGCTGAACAGCAGCATTGCTGGGAGGACCTTGTACATCCGTTGGCACCCTCTCAGAGGGAGCAGACAGATGCTTGACGTCCCCCCACGTTGTCAACAGTGGTCAAACTATCACTGTCTGATGGTGCTGTGCTGTGGGCGCTATTCCGGGATCTCCTCGGATTGCGGATCATGTGAGACACCGACGGACTCATTGGAAAACACAAGAACATCTCAAGCTCACGTAGCGCGGTGGTGGTAACCTCTATGGCAGCATTGATCTGCACTGCTTTCTTGGCGCTGACACGCATATCTAGCTTGCCAAAAGACAACGATCTGCCAGTACGGCTGAGCTCGCCTCTCGCTTCCATTTGCAAGAGTTCGCCCCAAAGCTGCTTCAAGTCCTGCACCACAGTACCTGCAAAAATGCTGTCCAGAGAGCTGCCTGCCAGGAATCCAAGTGGGGCAGAAGCTGCAACGACTTGGAGAAAGGGAATGTCTAGCTCCAACAACAAGATTCGTGGCGACGCATACTCTGCCACAGCCATTGGCAGGTTTGTGTCATGAAGCAGATGTGCATCAGTGGCCTGTGGTTGAGATTCCCGAACAGCATCAACTGCACTGATGGCGAGGCTTGCTTGGTCTGTAAAATCGCGAAGACCAACCAAGTGATATATCTTGTCATCATCCGGTCTACGGTAGCTCACCTGAAAAACTTCAGTGCGGAATTTGCTACCGCACCCGTCAACAAGGCGTGTGTGGAAGGCCTTTGCAGAGACGGTCTCAGCCTGCTCAGCCAAGTGACGGCTGTTGCTAATGAGGATGTGAGCTGCGCGCTCCTTGTCCTCAGGACTTGCAACCAGATCTGTGAAGCTCAATCCTGTCACGGAGCCAAGGTTCCCTGGAGCTCGCAACAGCATCGTTGTCAGCTCAGGCGAACATGTGCCAATTTTGAGATCAGGATGAAGCTCCAGAACAGCATCGCAGGTCAGCTGCAACAAGGCCGTAGCCGCATTCAGCTCGGTGGTTGCCTTGTTGCTCTTCACAAACTGTTCAGCAAAGCGATGCAGAGCGGACCGCATCATGAATGACAAAGCGATCACCATCATTGAGCACACAACCTCTGCCTGAACAGCAATTGCCACAAACTCTCTGTCTTCTTCAAGGGTTGTTCGCACTCGCACCCATGTCATGCAAACCATTGACAAATTTGTCAGGATGATGACACAGGAATGCTGCACCATGATCGCGCTAGGCAGTCGATAAAGAACCAGCATGATCGGGGCAATCGTAGTCAAATGTTCGGCGGCCACAAATGGCGGCCAAACCATTGCAGCCACAAAAGCACTTCCTTGGAGGTACCAGAAGTCCAGTGTAGATACAGATAGGATCCGCGGATGAAGCTGCTGGAAGACCATCGTTGCAAAAGCGGAAAACAACAACCAAGTTAAAGGCACTGTCATCCACCTTGGACGGTTCCAAACAACATTCCACTGAACCATAAGGACGATCACAAGCGAAATGCCTGTGAGGATTTTTGAATACCTGCGGGCTATGCTAAGTCGGAGCTTTTCAACCTCCTTCCTGACAGCCAGCTCTTCTGCGTCGGGCCTGTCGCTTGCCTTTGGCCTGCGCAGTGCCCTCGCAAGCCATCCA